GAGATCACGAAAAAACTTGCTACGTTACAGGTGGTGGTGTTCTTTTAGCAGTTCATCGCAAATTTCGTCCTCATTTAATAATGCTTGATAATAATATTTTAATTCCTGACTAACTATCTATTTGTATTTCATACATCCCTGCTAATTGTGCTCTAGATTTGTATAAGATGTATGGAAATAATATTTCCTCACTGATTTTAAGTAAGGTATAACACAATAACATTTTTGTGTTATGGGTGACTTCAATCTAAGCAATATTGTCTGGTCCGACTTTCCTAAAGCGCTGCCCATATTCCCTCCAATTCTTCGGCTTCTCGTGAGTTATTTCTCATTTATAGCCTGCTTATTCTCAATTTTATTAATCAAATTAACTCAGCTGCGAATAGTTTTGATCGATTTCTTGACTTAGTCTTTCTCAGCGATAATTTAAACTTTAGGTTGATTGATGGATTCTCTGCCATCACTCCAGCTACCATTCATCATTCTCCGTTACCGTTTAATATTGATGCTTATCTTTTCGCTCCTGTCAAACCAATTGACGAACTTGGTTTTAGTTTTAGATTTTGTGATTTTACAAGACTCAAACATTTGCTCGTTGAGTTTTAATGGAATGACTTACTGATACTGCTAATAGTTTTTCCATTTTTAAGAAAACTATTCAAGAATTTCGTCGTTATAATATCCCGGTTAAAGATATACAGCTATATAAGCTGCCATGGTATACTAGGGACCTCAAACGCTAGAAAAATCAACTGTTAATTACTACAGAAAACTCTCTTGAACTAAATTTAATGTCTCCCCCATGATTAAATTGAAAAAACGTTGGCGTAAGTGTATTGAAGCCAAGAGGAATCAGTTTGAGGTGCACGACATAGATTTTAAAGAATAAATGAAGAATCTTAAAAATACTTTTATGAACAAGGTCTTACTACTTTTGGTTCATAAGYACTTATATTGATGTTGGATATTTGRWGKTTTATTTTGAAAGTTAATATCWTCGGCAGGAAGTACTACTTATTGTATGATACATAAATATATTTTTATTGTTTTCAGAGCCTCCGTGCCACCTGAAGAGATATTGCAATTTGCTCACTAAGCTATTTCGCTTAAGTCGTTTTTATGGAGTAAGAAATCAGTCAAAAATATAAAAACATAGTCGAGCTCAGCTCCCACTAGCGGCACGCTTTAAAGTAAGTAAGAGAAACTAATTTTTATATCGAACACATGATTTAGAGCCAATATATTTTAAAAAATGAAATTTGCAATTTTTTTTTTTCAATTTCAAGTGCATTATTATTTAATTATTTCAAAATAAATAATTTTAAAAATTCGATTTTTAAACTAATTTGGCTTTATTAGCCTCACAAATAACGAAAGTGACTCAACTAGATCTCTACTTAATATTTTCTTATAAAGTAAATGCAAATTAATCGGAATTTTTATTACAAAATTTCCAAGTTCAAAAGAGAGAAGTTCTACAGAAATACTGCTTCCAGTTTTTGCTTACAGTTGCCTTACTCGCTAAACATTTCAGTTGCTTTGCCCAAAGTTGCTATTAACCTTAATGACTGAAAGTAATTTTCGCACTTTAGTAGCTATGAAAATTAGTTTGCCGGATGTTTACGCACACAGCGTATGAAAAACCTGGCATTTCTATTTGTTTATTAAAACACTTTGTGGCATTAACGCAGCGCTAATGCCAGCTAATCCAAGTAAATTCCAGCCGCCGACATGCGACCTGCAAACACACACACACACACACACATACAACCATAAACACACACTTGCCTCGACATACATATATGGTACACCTGTTCAAGAAGGGCTGTTGTGGCGCGCACTTACCATGCTGTTGTGGTCTTCGTTGCGATAATTTGCGTCTTTGCGGCGGCGTTTCCGTTTCGCTGAGACGCGGCTCGCTCGTGCAGTAAGAACGTGCATTTTCCAGATTATATTGCTGTTGCTGCTGCTGTTGGGCCTGTGCTTGTGCGCGTCGTCGTACCTGCAGGTGTGAGAAGAACAGTTGTGAGTATGTATGAAATATGCTTTGTGGCAAGCAGCAAAGTAAGTAGGGAAATTTGCGAGAAAATAGCTGAAACGAGATTACAAGTTCAGGGAAAACTCTAAAGTTGATTTCCTTATTGCTTAAAGTGCTACATCTATTTAGTAGCCCCCGCCAATAACTGCCGTTATGCATATAAACTCGCCAATAGCTATATTTGCTTGGACTATTTTGTTGTTGGAAAGTTTTGTTGTTGTAAGCTAAAACTTTTGGTCGAGGCGCAAAGTTTTTCCAGCGCTCTTTGAAAGTTATTGCGTTGCCATTTTGTTGTTTTTTTCTTTTTTTGGTTTTTATTGTGTAGCACGCAACGCTTGCCTGCCGCTGTGCTAAGTRAGTGTATATGCTATTGCGCAACACTGGTTGCATGAATTGTGTGGCAAACAATGTTTTCAAGTGTTTGTGCTTGCAGTCTCTTTAGCACTGTTTTTGTTTTTGTGCGAAGGYTTTGCTTTTGTTATTGTAAATCGGTTTGTTTTTGTTGTTGTGTTGCGTTTTTGTTTTTGTTATTGTACACGGTTTTGTTGTTTGTTGTTGTTGTATCATACTTTTTTCTTGTTGTTGTGCCAGTTTTTGTGTTTGTTCTTTTTTAATGCACTGTTGCGCATAGCCAGTGCTTCGGTAATCCATGGCGTATACGCAACATRCAATTAAATTAAAATARTTTTCCACAAAACGTTCTTTCGCTTCAATGGTCGGCTAAATAATAGTGTAAAAAAATTATATTATATATCTTTTCTATCATATATGGATATAGATACATATGCTTGTATGTTTATCGCTTTGCTTATATTATGAGTTTTACCTAATAAACTTAGTAGGCGGCAATTGAATTGAAGCACAAGTGGCCTGCTATAAATTTAATCAACTTTAAAACAATTTTACTAACATAAGTTAAGTTAAGTGATTCGAGAATATTCTAGTTTCGATGTAAAATAATTCTTTTACAATTATAAGTGAGCGGTCTGCTTAAAATGGGTAATGCAATTACCGATAAAGTCGATTACAAATATCAATATTTTTGAACTCGAAATGTGTATATTTTGAAATAATTTTCATTTTTACAAAATGAAGAAAATATTACACTACCTTTTTCAATTAGCACTCAAAATTTAACGTATTTGAACTTTATGGTGTCAAAACTGTGAGAAGATGTCATTCAATTTATACATTATCTGAAGTATTTTGTCTCATATTGAGACTAATATTGGGTCTATAGCTATATTCGTGCCGTTTGCCCAGATATTTTTGTTATGATGCTTGAGCATTATGCCATTGCCCCAATATTCTGAATTTGTTTTGAAAAGTTTCTGCCTGTGTGCTTCATCTAATATCATCCCTTTAAAGCGTAAAAAACAGCGAATTTCTCGAAGTTTGTGCCCGAAAAAGTATTTTTGTGGGTGGTTTTTTATTCCGTTTTTACAACTTTAATATGAAAACCTAAGTTAAAGAAATCGGTTTGCGTGATGAAAAAAAAGATTCATTAGTACAACTCGTAAACAAAATACGGATAATATATAAACCTGACCAACCAATTAAATTAACGGCAAAAGGAATATTCATGACGTAAATTTTCGACTCCATATTTAGTGGAATCAGTGGGACGTGCTTTGCTATGAGCCTCTAATACGGTGAGATATCATTATTGAATTGAAGCTAGCGATTGGCGAAAAGCTTTCGGMACTTACGACTAAACACGAGGAATARTTTTCCGTCGAGRCAACACTAGGCCTCAYATTGAAAGAGCGGTTAAAAATTWTTTGGTAAACAGCGGCTGCCCCACTCACYTTATATGTCAGAACTTGTCATGRACCGAATCTGCGAATCGCTACGAWATCAAAGTAAAATCGWGTAATTTATAGAGCGGATTGRTTTGASGWRATGWAAAGTGGSTCACTTACGAYAAGCGAAAACGATCGTAGTCCCGTTGAGCCGGCGCGAAAGAGCCATGACGGCATTGACGGTCAGAAAGGTCTGACACTTGTTTGTGATTAGTTCGAACCTCAACAACTTTTTCGTCTAAATGTTGACAATGGCCCAGAAACGGTGAGCATTAAACTTTTTAGTGTAATTGTGTACCATTAGTATGACGCCAAGCCAAGCATTTCGATAGTGATACGCCCGAAAGCCCCGAGAACTTAGTTGGGAACCTTGACCTTATAAACGGGAACTGGCAACAAATTACCACTCGCTTTTCTTGTCTATGGCAAATGGTTTTGCTGCTGAAAAATTCGCTTCAAGAAGAGATATTTGTGAAACTCGTTTGTTTTAGTGTTTTATCAATATGCACGTAATTTCTATGGGAGTAACATTATGAAATTTATTAAAAATGGTAACAATTCATCGAACAAAATGGTGCATAACTTTTCTGAATTCAATTTAATGCAAAATTAGTACATTTATAGCCAATATTTTGTATTACTATTTTTTTAACAATATTGACTATGACTTAGAAAAAGTTATGCTCCTATTTGTAGGCAATATTTTTGAAAAAAAGTGAAATTTTAGCGAAGACACACACCGAAACATATTATAAGAGATATTAGAGACATGAAATAGTTATAAAAGTTTTTAATAAAATATCTTAAGGAATTAATGTAATAAGTATGATCAGAAAAAAAATCCGAAAAATATGTTTTACATAATTTTTCAATTTTTGTTCGCATCGTCTATTTCCTTTCTTCAACTCTAAAAGTAATATTAGTATTTTAGCCAAGAAAAAACCCTTCAAGTTGTACGATAACTCATTCCAGCAGCTAGAATCATGCAATAGTCGAAAAATATTTTTTTATAAAATTTTTAATTTTTCCTTTATTCAGCTATTCAAATAAAACTGGTATTTTAGCGAAGACAAACACCTTTAAATTATACCGTAGCTAATAACAGCAGTCAGAGTCATAAAGTAGCCGAAAATATTTTTTAAATCAAATTTTTGGTCGTATTGTCTTCAACTATAAAAGTGAAACTCGTATTTTAGCGAAGACAAGAACCCACAAATCTAGCGATAACTCATAATAGTAACTAAGGTCATGAAAAAGCCGAAAACAATTTTTTTTTCAATGTTTGATCGTATCGTCTATCATCGTCAACGTCTTCGTATCGTCTTTAACTACAAAAGAAAAATCGATAATTTAGCGAAGAYAAACACCYTTAATTCAAATGATATATATAAAAAATTGTGAATAGCAGCAGCCAAAATCATGAAATAGTGATTAGTCATAAAATAGTGATAGCTTGGTGGTAAAAGTACTTAATTCAGTACACTATATTCAGAAATAAAAGTTTGGAAAAATATTATCCGAAAAAATATTTTAAAAACTTTTATAATTTTTTAAAACTTTTATAAATTTTTTTGTAAAGTTCTCCATTTATTTTTCCTTTTTTGAAAAATAAGTTTTAAAAATTGATGTAGAGCGAGGAATAAGGAATTTAGCACCGCTTTAATGAAGAAGGGTGAAGAAGTTCTATCATCTTCCAGTGCTATAATTGCTCGAAGCTACCAATTGCTTCATACACACACCTGCCCAACTTTCTTAAACCCAAAAATCAATTAACTCGCAAATTCCGAGATTTAGACAAACAAATAAAATCAAAACAATTGCATGTGGCCCCTATGCCCTGCGGGCTAAAAGATCTTATCCTTAAACATTTCATTTAAAATCGAAAATCCTTTCACCTAAAATGAACATTTCTTCAGCACAAAATTCTTGAAACACAACAGCAATAACGATCGCCCGATGGAGAAACAAAAACAAATAACATAAGCTCCTCAATCCCACAAACAATATATGCGTAAGCCCCATGCATAGTTGTGGTTGACTGCGCATTTTCCCTAACGTTCGCTCCATTTTACTGCGCGCTCCACCCCGCACGTCCGCACGCCAAGGTAACTCAAGAAAATTAATTTGTATGCAACACACAAAACCAGACATTCGATTCGTTTGCCGAAGCGTGCACGTTACGCGTCGGTTTACCGCTTCATTTGCCGCTGACGAAATGTCACACACACACACCTGCCACAACAACACGACACGACATGAACGAGTGGCGTTCGAGGTGAGGTTCTTGGAACGCTGAAAACAAAGAGTGGAAAAAACTCGAAACGCCTTGTGCCGAAACTTCGTAAGTGATGTATTGCACTAAACAGGTGTGCGGGCGTGTTGAGGGTGAAGTGAAAAAGTGAAGCGTGTGTGTTTGTGGCACAGCTTGTGTGTAGCTGCACTTTGTTGCCTTCGAAGTTTATGTGTTCCTGGGTTCCGTAATAAAGCTGTGACATCAATCGCTCTATTTTTTGCGCTCTTCGACAACTCTTTAATACCAATCACTCAGCTGTCGTTGTCAACATTTATTTTGCACTGATTTTTATCACTTTCATTTCATTTCGTGCCATTTGTGCACTTTTGCTTTCAGCGTTTGATCTGCTTATTTTAAATTTATTGGTAAACTTTGTTTTTGTCGAGTCACTTTGATGACAGATTTGGTTTTGATTTGTACTCAGCAAACATGCACGAAAGCAATGAGAATCTCAATTTGTTTAAAAGTTTTTAAACAGGTTGATTTTTTTCTTTTTAGATTTTAAGGTTATTACCCAAATTCAAACAGGTTGAAACTAGAAATGAGCATTTAACTCGCTTGCTGTGCTCTAAAAGTTAGTCAAAGACTGTCGTACTCAACGTCAATATCATACAGACTTTTCATTAGCAGACTCCTTCGGTTGCTGAAACTGCAAATTGATGAACTCGCAAGAAGTGGCGTCCTCATTCCACTTGCTCCAGATTGTAAACGAGCTGGATTCACGTTAGCATACTGCATTGTAGCACTGGACCTATTTACCAATTTGTCGGCCTATTGGGGGTCCCTATGATGGTTATATCGACCGGCGTTCTGCTCTGTAGTTGAAATGCCCGACGACTAACTTGTTGATGTTTGGAAACAATAGGAAG